GAAGTGGTTAAGTATCTTTTAGAAGTACTAAAATTAGTATTCAAGTGAAATACTTTCACAAGTGACATTAATACGATCAATTTCACTCTAAATTAAGTTCTGAGATGATGGCATCTGACATACAGAGTAAACACAAAGACAGAGAAGAATACCTTATCTTCTTTGACGGCTATCAGCATTCCTCGCTTGAAGAATTCCTTCAGTGCCGGCAAGTCATCAATCACCAACTCGTGCTCCCAGGCAAACTCCAGCCCCTCCTCAGCCCACTGCAACCCCTCCGTCCGGTATTGCACCAGCTTGAGGGGTGGTGGAGGGGACTGGGAATGGTCTGTACCATTAGTGGTTGATGGGGGAGGCTGCAACTTGGAGGGGCTCTCGTCTGTTTGCGTGAAGAAGGTTCCCTCTGGAACAGGACCATCTACCGAGTATGATCAAACATCAAGTTTTCAAGTACGTCGATTCAAAAGCTGTATGCGATAACAGCTTTTATCATTACACAGGTCACCTCTTTCCAACTGTGTAAACTGGACTCTTGCCAAACTTGATCAGGTCAAAGGTCACTGTGATGCTGTTTCACTGCTACCATTACGCAGCTATGGCTAACCATCAAGTGCAACTATCTATTGCAGGACCCAGTCCTGACCAGTCACCCAGAATAGCCAAGTCATCATTACTGGACATGCAACCAGTGAAGGTTAGGCTTATATGACCGTGGCTTGGCGTAAGACATAAACCAACGAGAAGTGGCTGCAGCCATTAAGCATCTACGGGCATAAGTTTACTGTAAGCCACAGCCAAAACATGTAGTCATAGACCAATTCACACTATGGTCAAAGTCGGTCATGCAGGGATGGCGTGAATAAAATTTTTCATGCATGCATCAAATCCCATTCAATAGATATTGACAACTCTCAGAGGATTGATAAGTTGTGGGCAAATGTTCCCAAAAAGCCACTGACTGAACTTATCAACTGATAGAGTCTATTTGATGAGGCTGTTATCATTACCTTGATCAGAAGTTATGCCTTCTTGCTTGCCCACCACAATTTCTGGAGCTTGAACCTGAGAAAAACCAGCCAGGACAAAAAAAAAACAGATGCATGCGAATGAGATTAATCAAGCACATGATCTGGAATGCTGAACGTGGATAGTGTCACCAAAGATGTCATAGGGCATGTCAATCTGGTAGATTAGAAATGACAACTGCTATCAAAGGCACTTTTTGTTGATTTCTTAATCCCAAATATGATGCTTAAAGTGATTAAAATACGGGCTTTTGGGACACAAACAACATTATCACTTGGATCTCTTTCTGGTCAGCTCAGCAAAGCTTGACGGAAACAAGAAAGCCTTACATCTTCCTTCTCGGTATCCACATTCTCCTTCTCTGTCAAGGCTAAGGAAGCATCTCGTTGCTGAGCTGAGCATGCCCTAGCTTTGAAATCCTCTAGGAACATGTACTCCACATAGTAGGTGCGGGTTATGATGGGAAATTCGGGCTGTTCCTCCGTTGCCTTCAACAGAAAGAAAAAAGGGTGAGCAATTTTTTTATGAGGGGAGGGTTCCAATCAGTGTTTTACACCTTTAAAATTTTGAAAAACTCCCCAATTTATTTTAATTTTTGCAGTTGCTAAATTTGTTTAGAAACTTGTCTTTTCAATATCAACAGAGCCGGTGTTGTAGTTGAGACCACTTAAGACCTTCACAAGACCACACAAAACTAGTACAGGACCTCCAGTCTGAATTCAAATCACAAGCTATTTAAATGAACTGCAACAAAAGCAACCTTTGTCATTGTTCAACCTGTTACTTGTGACTGGTCTTGTGTCTGGTCTTGTGTCTGGCTTTGTGTCTGATCTTGTGTCTGGTCTTG